TAGCATTGCTTGTGCCTGAAGGGTCAAATTGGCTTTTTAAAGACTCATCTCAAGTCTGGGCAGGTGGCTCAGGGGTAGAGCGCTCGCCTCATATGCCATGAAGCCCTGGGTTCGAGTCCCCAGTACCCCCATACACAGAAAAAGCCAGAAGTGGTGCTGTGGCTCAAGGGGTAGAGCGCCAGCCTGGAGCCAAAGAAGCTCAGGGGCAGCGCCCAGGCCCTGAGTTCAAGCCCCAGGACTGGCAATTAGAGAGGAATGTCTCCCAGACTTTCCTGCCCTGGGCTGATTTCGAACCTGAGATCTGAGGACAGATCTTAACCTCCTGAGCAGCTGGGGTGACAGGTGTGAGCCCCCACCCTGCTCCCACGCCCCACCCCCTTTCCCTCACCCCCCCACCCCTCCCCACCCCACCTGTTTGACAGTTGATTGACAGCAGGGGCGGGGCCTTCACGGTAGAGAAGAATCCAGTCACAGATGGGAGCCGCCTAGCACCCGGGTAGAAAGTAGAAAAGGATCCCAAAGGAAATTTCAGGTGACGGAGAAGGGAGGGAGGGAGGGAGGGAGGGGGGCAGAGAGAAATGTATTTTCCTGGGCCTTTCATTTAGGGAGGCTTCTTCTCCTACCAGGGAGTAAAAGCAACCTTCCAGAAGAGTCCACACCCTTTCTCGGGCTGCCAGGTGGCTTGGGTTTTAATCCTGTCATCCTGAGAATGAGCAGAGCCTGGGAGATCCGCTCAGCGGTGGTTTAAATAGGAAAGACCACGCCAGCCACAGGTCTGTTGAGCCTGCTGGGCTTTTCGCGTTGGCTTTTTCAGGGGTGCGTAATTTTCCCCTGGCTGTGTTTGGAGTCATCAACCTGCTCATGGAGCCCTCGGACGCACCCCACGAGGAAACCCCGAGCTCCCCGGCCGAGGAAGAGCGCTCCCCGAGTAGGACAGGTGAGCCACGCAGTGTCCCCTGCTCCCCAAATCTCCAGGGCTTTGGGGGTGCAGAGGCCGCCCTCAATTCTGTCACCGATTCTGCTGCTTTCCTCCAGAAGCCAGAGGAGGGTCTGGGGTGTGGCTGCATCCCAAGGAAGAGGGAGGGGGGAGACATGCTGGGATTTCAGGGTTCAGCATCCGTTTCTGGGGTGGAGGAAAGACTTTACACTTTTTCCAGGGATCTCTAACCCCCCAGGAAACCTTCCCAGCTCCGTAGGCTAAAGGCAGGCGTGATGAGTGTGGGCCAGAGACTAGAGATGGCGTCCCAACCCTAATGCTTCTCTCCCTGTCCCTGGCAGAGTCCTCTCCGGCCCTCCCCGAGTCCTCGCAGTCCTTGGTAAGACGGCTTCAAAGGCTGACCCTGAACTCGGGGCCCGAAGCCCCAGCCCAGGCCCCCAGCACCAGGAGAGAAAGGCTCTCACCGCGGGCCAGGCCCCGGAGAAGGCTGTCCCAACGCAGGGCGAGGCTGGAAGGCCTGAGACCCGTTCTGCAGAACTCCTTCCCCCGCACGAGACGCGTAAGTGTGCAAGCAAGTGTGCAACATCATGCATTCATGTACCCACTCATTCCTTCACTAATACCGTGAGAGAGACAGTCTCCCAGGGCCTGGACCCTGTCCCTGATCAGCTTTGCTCAAGGCTGGTGCTCTACCAAGTGAGCCAGGGCCCCACTTCCAGCTTTTTGCTGGTTCACTGGAAATAAGAGTCTCATCGACTTTCCTGCCTGCCCTGCCCCCCCCCTCAGGCTGGCTTTGAACCCCGATCCTCAGATCTCAGCCTCCGGAGTAGCTGGGATGGCAGGCGTGCGCTACGGCACCCGGTCGGAATGACATGATCAAGGTGTCTGTCCACACGTCTATGCTAGTGTATGGAGTGGCTCTGATCCGATTGAATGCTGAATGTTTTCTTGTTTTTTTCTTAAGCTTAATAAAGGAACTGGACAAGGACTTCCAGCTACCCAGGTAAATGGGGTTTTCTGTCCTCCATCTATGGGGAGGGTGGGGGGTGGATTTGAACTCAGGACCTCGTGTTTTCCTAGTTGCTGGTGCTCCACCACTTGAGCCACACACCAACAACCCTGATTTTTTTTTTTTTTGGTTGATCGTGTGGGCTTGAACTCTGGGCCTGGGCGCTGTCCCTGATTTTAAGAAAGGGTTTTGGTCTCTGATTGGCCATGAACTTCAGATCCTCAAGTTTTCGCTGGGATTATAGGCGTGCACTACCACGCCCAGCCATTCAAGAGGCTAGTTTACTATAAACCGTGGCGATTACAGAGATGTTTGGGGAGGAGTCCTGTATCACTCAATTCATTCTGTTATATTTCTTCTATTTCTTTCAGAATGAAGATAAGACGTTCAGATGTTCTTGTTCCTTCTGCTTGACGTATAACTGGGACCCTTCAGAAAATGCTAGAATAGGGATGGATTATGGGGAGGAGGTCAACTATTAGGGGGTCAATTATGTGCTGAGATAATTAAATACATACGGCCTGTGGATGAAGTTATTGAATGCTACCATCCACTGACTGGAATTTTGAATATTCTGTATATTAGGTGATTTCAGTAATGTAATTTTTCCTTTGTGTGTGTGTGTGTGTGTGTGTGTGTGTGTGTGTGTGTGTGTGTGTGTGCGCACACACGTGCCGGTTCTGAGGCTTGAACTCAGGCCCTGAGCACTGTCCATTAACTTTTTATACTCAGTGCTGGTATTTTTACCTCTTGAACCACAGCTCCACCTCTGGTTTTTTGGAGTAGCTTTCTTCCCTCAGGCTGGCCTTGAACGGTGATCCTCAGATCTCAGCCTCCTGAGTAGCTGGGATTACAGGCAGGAGCTGTAGGCTCTTCCCAGCTTTGCCTTTTCTTGGCTGGTGGATTTTGCCTTCTGCCTCAATGGCAGTAATTTGCAAAACAAAAACAAAAACAAAAACACCAAAAACCTGTTTTTATATGTCTCAACGATCGATTCCATTTTCTCTTTGGACCTAAAGAAGCAATAATGGATTTTTTTCCAGTTTTCTATTTTACAAGCTTAAAGTCTGTAAGATACAGTAGAGTATTTGGCATTGGGTAATAATTAGAAATGACAAAGCTTTGAGCTGTAATAAAAACAGATTTTGATGTGTAATGATCAGTAGCACATGTATATAGAAGGGCCTTATTAAAATTGATTTCTTGGAAAATAATAAAACCATGTTTGTTTTTCTGGGTGTTTACCTGCTCCATCTTGTAGATCACCAGTGGGATTCGAACTCAGAGCCTTATGTTCTTTGTGTGTGTCTGTGTCTGCCGGTCTTGGGGCTTGAACTCAGGACCTGAGTATTGTCCCTGAGCTTTATTGCTCAGGCTGGTGCTCTACCACTTGAATCACAGCCCCACTTTTGAAGATCAGAGTCCAGGAGTCTCTGGCCTGGGGAAACCTTGATCCTCAGATCTCAGCCTTGTGAGGAGCTGGGTTGACAGGCGAGATCCACCCGTGGCTGGCCAGCTTTAAATTTAGAAAAAATATGCTCATGGTTGGCGCTCTACCACTTGAGCCACGCCTCCACTGAGGGTTTTTGGTAGTTCATCAGAGAAGAGTCTTAGGGACTCATCTGCCTCTTGGTGCTCAAGGTGAGCCCGCTACCACCTGAGCCACAGCAGCACTCCTGGTTTTCTGATAGTTCAGTGGCGATCAGAGTCTCGCAGACTTTTCCTGCCCAGGCTGGCTTCGAACCTGCAATGCTCAGGTCTCAGCCTCCTGAAGGAGTAGCTGGGAAGACCAGCGCCAATTGTTTTATATTCTTCCTTGGGAGGAACTAGATCTGCAGATCTGTGTGTTGACCTTTTCAGTCAGTGAAGAAAAAGCTGGTTTTTGTTGTTGTTTTCTATTCTCTCCCAAGATAAATTTCAGCTCACCAATCTCTATCCTGTTCTGGGAGTGGAATGGGGTCCCCAGATCCCCCACCAACCAAATCCCCACACGACCCCTAGAGGGAGGGAGGGCCTGGGGCAGATTTCCCCCCAGTTCAAATAAATAAGTAGAGCCAAGGCCCCAGGCCCGGCCGCCTCGCCACGCCCCCGCCGCCTCGCCACGCCCCCGCCGCCTCGCCACGCCCCCGCCGCCTCGCCACGCCCCCGCCGCCTCGCCACGCCCCCGCCGCCTCGCCACGCCCCCGCCGCCTCGCCACGCCCCCTGCCACACGCCCCCGGCCGCCTCGCCACGCCCCCTGCCACACGCCCCCGGCCGCCTCGCCACGCCCCCGCCGCCTCGCCACGCCCCCGGCCGCCTCGCCACGCCCCCTGCCACACGCCCCCCGGCCGCCTCGCCACGCCCCCTGCCACACGCCCCCGGCCGCCTCGCCACGCCCCCGCCGCCTCGCCACGCCCCCGCCGCCTCGCCACGCCCCCGCCGCCTCGCCACGCCCCCTACCACTCGCCCCCCCCCCCCCCGGCCTCGCCACGCCCCCGCCGCCTCGCCACGCCCCCGCCGCCTCGCCACGCCCCGGCCGCCTCGCCACGCCCCGGCCGCCTCGCCACGCCCCCGGCCGCCTCGCCACGCCCCCTGCCATACGCCCCCGGCCGCCTCGCCACGCCCCCGGCCGCCTCGCCACGCCCCCTACCACTCGCGCCCCCCCCCCCCCCCCCCCCGCCTCGTCACGCCCCCTGCCACTCGCCCCCGGCCTCGCCACGCCCCCGGCCGCCTCGCCACGCCCCCTGCCACACGCCCCCGGCCGCCTCGCCACGCCCCCTGCCACTCGCGCCCCCCCCCCCCCCCCCCCCCCCCCCGGCCTCGTCACGCCCCCGGCCGCCTCGCCACGCCCCTGCCTCGCCTCGTCCCCGCCCCCGCCGCCACGCCCCCGGACCGCCCCTCATTAGCATTCAAATCACCCGGATGAGGCGGACCGCCTGCCTGCCGCGGCCCTGCTCTGATTGGCCAGGGCGCGGAGGGCCGTCTCGTATTCAAATTAGCCGGGCCAGGCGGCCTCGCGGGCCGCGGCCGGCGGAAGCCCGCGCTCGGGCCCCGCCCCGGCCCCGCCCCCGCCGCGAAGCTTCCAGGCGCCCGGCCGGCTTTTTCCGGACTGCATACTTGTCCCGAGCTTCGCCCGAGCAGCCGCGGCGCCGCCATGGACCCCGCGGACGCCTTCGACCCCAGCGCCGGCCCCGGCGCCGACCTGATGGCCGAGGCCGAGGAGGAGGCGGAGGAGGCGGAGGAGGCCCCGGGCGGGCCCGGTGAGCCGAGGGGCCTCGGGCCTGGGGGGTCTGGGCCTGGGGGGGGGTCTGGGCCTGGGGGGGGGTCTGGGCCTGGGGGGGGGTCTGGGCCTGGGGGGGGGTCTGGGCCTTCTCCCCATCTCCAGGCCTTTGGGGGGGGATCTGGGCCTTCTCCCCATCTCCAGGCCTTTGGGGGGGGATCTGGGCCTTCTCCCCATCTCCAGGCCCTGTGGGGGGGAGTCTGGGCCTTCTCCCCATCTCCAGGCCTTGGGGGGGGGAGTCTGGGCCTTCTCCCCATCTCCAGGCCCTAGGGGGGGGTCTGGGCCTTCTCCCCATCTCCAGGCCTTTGGGGGGGATCTGGGCCTTCTCCCCATCTCCAGGCCTTTGGGGGGGGATCTGGGCCTTCTCCCCATCTCCAGGCCCTGTGGGGGGGAGTCTGGGCCTTCTCCCCATCTCCAGGCCCTGTGGGGGGGGGTCTGGGCCTGGGGGGGGGATCTGGGCCTTCTCCCCATCTCCAGGCCCTAGGGGGGGATCTGGGCCTTCTCCCCATCTCCAGGCCCTAGGGGGGGGTCTGGGCCTTCTCCCCATCTCCAGGCCTTGGCGGGGGAGTCTGGGCCTTCTCCCCATCTCCAGGCCTTGGGGGGGGAGTCTGGGCCTTCTCCCATCTCCAGGGCTTCAGGGGTGGGGGCTGGACCTCTCCCCATCTCCATGGATTTGGGGAGTTTCTAGGCCTTCCCCCCCCCCCCTCCAATCCCTAGAGCTTGGGAAGGGGGGTTCTGGGCCTTCTCATCTCCAGGCCTGGGGAAGGGGGTGGGTCTAGGCCTTCCCTCCACGTCCAGGGCTTGGCGGTATCTAGGATCCTTCTCCCCCTCTCCAGGTCTGGGGGTGTGACAGGGGTCCGGGCCTTCCCTCCCTCATCTCCAGGGTTTTGAGGAAGGGGGAATCCTAGGTCTTCTCTCCCCCATCTCCATGGATTTGAGGGTATCTGGGCCTTCCCTCATCTCCATGGATTTCGGGGTGTCTGGGCCTTCCCTCCCTCATCTCCATGGACTTGGGGGTGTCTGGGCCTTCCCTCCCCAGGGAGGGGGGCGGGGTCCGTGGAGGCCTGGATCTGGGCCTGTGCTCTGCAGCGCAGTTATAAGGAGGCCTAGAGAGTGAGCGGATCCAGACTAGAAACTGGGGGGGGGGGGGGGGGGGGGCGGGGGTCCAAAGGGGAAGACAAAGAGGGGGAACAGGTGAATTGCAGCAGGGGGTTCACCGCCTTGGGGGGCATTAAGGATGGAAGATGGGCAGTGGGGGATGGTGAACTCCAGCAGCAGCAGCGCGGGGGAGGGGGGAAGGGGGAGGCTGTTCTATCTTTTGTTTTCTGTCCTCGACCTTGGAGTCTGAGCTGGGCCTGGGCGCTGCCCCTGAGCCTTGGCTCAAGGCTGGCGCTCCCCTCCCTGAGCCGCAGCGCCATTACCAGCTTTTTCTATGATTCACTGGAGATCAGAGTCTCACAGACTTTCCTGCCCGGGCTGGCCTTGAACCGTGATCCTCAGACCTCAGCCTCCTGAGTCGCTGGGATGAGAGGCGGGAGCCACCACGCCCGGCTTCTTTTTTTTCTCCACATACAAGGACAGTTCATATTAGTTGATCTTTTTCCCCCCTTGGCTTTTTTTTCTTTTTCCTCCGAAAATTATTGCAAATCAGTCTCGTGGACTTTTTTTTCTGCCCGGGCTGGACTTGAACCCAGATCCTCAGCTCTCAGCCTCTTGAGTAGCTGGGATTACAGGCGTGCGCTACCACAGCCCAGCCTGCTGTGCAATCTTCATTCGACCTAAAACATGGGTGAGATCTCTTCAGTGAACAGGGGGGAAAAAAAGGCAGAGAGCGCAGTTTATTGCCATTTACAAAGGCCTCGGCTTCTGCCTTGATTTCCCCATACTGAAGGCAGTCACTGAGCCTGATTTCCGGTGATCTCCACTCCTAAGAACCCTTCCCATCAGCCACTGCTCGGCAGGCTAAACGCAGTCCTGACGAGCGTGGGCCAGAGACTTGAGATGATGCATCTATGGAAGTGGTTCTCCATTTCCCCCTTGCAGAAATCCTTCTCCTTCTCTTCCAGAATCCTCTGAAGCCCTAGCCACGGACCTGCAACGCTTGACGCTGAACCCCAGGACCAGCTTCCCTTCTCCTGGGCCAGAAATTCCACCCCAGGCCCCTGGCCTGAGGCTCTTACCACCAGTCGACCCCGCCTTTCCCAAGGCCGGCATCCGGAGAGTGATCTTGGAGCAGAAGAAGAAGCTGGCACACTTGAGATCTGTCCTCAAAAACAGATACTCCCAGATACAAGGGGTAAGTAAGTGTGCACGAGCTCCTCGCCTCTGCCCAACCCTGGCGTGCAGGAGCTAAACCATGCTGGTAGCGCACGCCTGTAATCCCTGCTCCTCACAAGGCTGCTATTGTGAGGATCAGTTCAAAGCCAGCGCAGGCAGGAAAGTCCTGGAGACTCAGATCCAGCGAACTCCACCAAAAAGCTGGAAGCGGAGCTCACAGCCTTGGGCATAAAAAGCTCAGGGACAGTGCCTAGGCCCCAAGTTCAAGCCTCACAACTGACCAAACACACATACAGAAAAAAAACCTGAACCCAAGTCTTTGCACGGCTTGGCTTAGCTGGAGCTCCAGCACTTAGGCTTTTTCCGGAGTGTGTAATATTCCTAGGAATCTTGGGGCCAATTCCTTGTTTCTCCCATGCAGCTCCTGGAGGACCCCACCGAAGCGCTGCCCGGACCCTCGAACCAGGCGACCTCTCCAATGTCCCCCAAGGACAATGCCCCTCAGGGACCAGGTGAGCCCCTCCAGCCCCTCCCCCCAGCTCAGGGCGTTGGGGGTCCAAGGCCGCGAAGGAAGAGAGAGTGCGAATTGCATGAGGTTCGCTGTGCTACATGCAACATCCAAGGCCAGTTTGGGAGAGAGGAAATGACAGAAGTCCCCACAACCCGCTTCATAGCTTGTCTGATGAGTGCTGAGCCGGCCACCATTCACAGACAAGGAAGCTCAGAACTTCACTTAGCCTGGTGCTCTGCCACTTGAACCGTACCTCCAGTCCGCGTTTGGCTGGCGTTTTGTGTTTCTTGGAGATAAGGTTCTTTCTGGGCTGTGAGCCTGATCCTCAGCGCCCAGCCTCCTTGAGTAGCTGGGATTACAGGTGTGAGCCACCCTGCCAGTCCACGCTGCGAGGTTGCTTTGCGTGTTTCCCTGAGACCCTTCGTGCTGTAGTCTTTAATTTTTTTTTTAATTGTGAAAATAGGGGTTACAATTACAAGAGCAAGGTAATGGGTACTTTTCTTATCAAGCATTGTGGCCTCCTCCTTTGTTTCCCCTTCCCATCCCGCACTCCTAGTCTTTAATTCTGTGATGGGATTACAGGCAGGCACTACTAAGCCTGGCTAATGCTTACTCTCTGACCTTTATTTTGTTGTTGCTTCCGCCTGAGGGGCCCTGGAACCCAGGCCTCTAGATCTCAGCCTAAGATTGCAAGGAAGAGCTCCAGTGCCAGGTTTCTTTATTTTAAAGCCAGACTTGGCTAGGCAATGCTCTATGCTTTAGCCGAACCCCTTCCCCAATTCCCATCATTTGGTATGTATGCCAGCTCGCGGGCTTGAACTCAGGGCCTGGCCACTGTCTCTGAGTTCTTTTGCTCAAGGCGGGCGCTCTACCACTTGAGCCACAGCGCCACTTCCCGTTTTCTGGTGGTTCATAAGAGATCAGAGTCTCACAGACTTTGCTGCCCACGCTGGCCTCAAACCTCAATCCTCCAGTCTCAGCCTCCTGAGGAGCTGGGGTGGCAGGTGGGAGCCACTGGCTCTGCTTCTGAGAGATTCTTATCTCCAATTAACCATCAAAAAGCCACAGGCGGAGTGGCTCAAGTGGTAGAGCACCAGTGTTGGGAGGAGAAAGCTCAGGAACACTGAATTCCTGAGTTCAGGTTCTAGGACTGGCAGCCAAAAGAAAACAGAAAAATCCATAGAGTCCAGGAGTCTCATTGGCATTTACAAGTGGTTTGCTTCCGCCTTGACACCCCCTTATTTGAGAGAAGACAGCGGCCACCTCTGAAGACTCCTTCCTCTGCGTCTGCGGTGGAGCAGGCTGCAGGCAGTCCCAACGAGTGTGGGCCAGCGGCTTGAGATGGGGCCCCTCCCACGCATGGCTTCTCTCCTTGCCTTCCAGCGGTGCCCTGTCCACGCCGGCCTCTCACGGAGTTCTCCAGAAGCGTGGTCGCCTTGTTCCGGAGCTTCGTGCTCCAGAGCCAGCTGCACAACGCCGCCCGCGGGGGCCGGCTGGACCTGCTGGCGCAGAGCCAGAGTGCCCGGGAGGGCATGGCCTCCCGGCGCAGGCGCAGGAAGCTGGCCAGCTGGCGATCCTCCCCGGTGAGTTGCTCCCCAGGCCAGGCCGGCCCCGCCGTCCAGCCAGACCGTGCATCATTCATTCATTCATTCATTCATCCATCCATCGGGCAGCCCTGGGGCTCTTTGCACTCACGGCTGGTGCTCTGCCACCTGAGCCACAGCTCCACTTTGGCTTCTCTGGTCTGCCTCTCCCTCCTCCATCCTCAGCCCTCAAGCGGCCGGGATTACAGGCGTGCGCGTCCACCCCCAGCCCTTCACAGGGCTGGGGTTCGTTTTGCACTGCCGGATCTCAGTGACTGTGCCCTCGTTTCTTGCAGGTGAAGGAAAGGCCTTTCCGCTGCACCTGCAGTTACTGTCTGGCTAACGACGACGATCCCTCGGGGAATGGGGATAAGGGCCAAGAGGGCTAGTGGGGTGATTGACACCTGTCAATCACGCTCGTTATTCGGCACATTCCGCCTGCGCGGTCAGAGGCGCCGAGGCTACTGCAAAACACTCCTTTTATAAGCTGAGGATTTTGGAGATCTTTTGTATACTGGGGTCGGGTTTTCTAGTTGCTGGGTTATTGGGGTGTTTTGGTTCTCCTTTGGTTTTTTTCTTCAATTCTTACTGTTAGAAAGGGGATGTCTAGAGAGGCGACAGTTAGACGTGTAAGTCAGGTAAAGAGTTGATTTCTTTTGGGGGGGGCAATGCCCCCCTTTCCCTCTCTCCCAATTTTTCCCTCTTTTCTTTAGCGTGGTCCCTGGGGTCAGATTTTTTCTAGCTGAATGCCACTCGCCACTTTGTTGGCTAAAGTCTAGGAGAGGTTGGAATAGTCACATGAAGCCCACGGAAACCCTACTGGGTAATAACACGAAGATGCCTGACTTACTTGCTGGTTTTCAAAGGTTTTGAGCTTGAACAATAAATACAGATTTTTTTGACGTTAGTGTCATTTTCAGTAGCAAATAAACGCATAAGGAAATGATTGACCTGGATCCTTGGATTGGTTATTTTCTAAACACAGGTGGAGAGGGGAGGCTAGGAATGTGGATTTAGTGACCCCGCGTGCAGGAAGCCCTGGGTTCGATTCCTCAGCACCACAGACACAGACAAAGCCAGAAGTGGTGCTGTGGCTCAAGTGGTAGAGCGCCAGCCTTGAGCCAAAGTTCAAGCCCCAGGACTGGCCAACAGAGCGCCAGTACTAGGGCTTGAACTCAGAACCTTACATTTTGGCTGGCTTTTTCAATTGAAAGGTAGAGCTCTATACCACTTGAGCCACAGTTCCACTTCTGTCTTTTGGCTGGCTCATTGGAGATAAATCTCGTGTCATGGACTTCCCTGTTCTGGCTGGCTTTGAACCAGGATCCTCAGATCTCAGCCTCCTGAGTAACTGGGATTATAGGTGTGAGCCGCCACTGCCCAACTGACCCCTTGTTCTATTTTTTTTGTTGTTGTTGTTGGTCGTGGGGCTTGAGCTCGGGGCCTGGGCGCTGTCCCTCAGCTCTTTAGCTCAAGGCTGGCGCTCTACCACTGAGCCACAGCGCCACTTTTGAGTTTTTCTGCTTATGTGGTGCTGAGGAATCGAACCCAGGGCCTCTTGCATGCCAGGCAAGCAGCACTGTATCACTGAGCCACCTGCCCAGGCCTCGTTCTATTTCATAGATGCAAATAACCTACTTCTACCACCTTCATACTGTCCCTGAGCTGATTTTGCTCAAGGCTGGCTCATTGGAGGTATGAGTCTCACAGACTTCTGCCTGGGCTGGTCTTTGAACCGTGATCCTCACATCTCAGCCTCCTGAGTAGCCACAATTACAGGGGTGAGCCACTGAGCACCTGGCTCAGTGTCCCTAGCTTTAAAAAGTTCTAGAATTATCGCCAGGTGGAGTAAACCACATAACAAAGTTAGTACGCAGTGGGGCACCGATGGCTCACACCTGTAATCCTAGCTACTCCGGAGGCTGAGATCTGAGGATCCCAGTTCAAAACCAGCCCAGGCAGGAATGTCTGTAAGACTCATCTCCAATGAACCGCCAGAAAACCGGAAGTGGCGCTGTGGCTCAAGTCGTAGAGCACCAGCCTTGAGCTGAAGAGCTGAGGAACAGCGCCCAGGCCCTGAGTTCAAGACCCATGACCAACTAAGTACACAGGGTGTTACCTGCACAGGTTTTAATGTTCATGCTGCTGCTGCACTCTTGCTGATTGGCCAGGGCTGGGGTTTGCCATCACTGTTCTCGTTCTGGTTGGTCAGGACTTGGGCTCATCGTCACTTGTGATTGGCTAGGTCTTTGAAAAATGTGAACACTTAAAACCAGCGATCAACGAAACCAAGACACCTAAGCAAGGCTGAAACTTGTCAGAAAAACAGTTCTTACTCAGCTGGTGCTCTGCCACTTGAGCCACGCCTCCAGCCCATGGGAAAAGAATCCTGTTGAACAGTGTATGAACTAAAATACCCCTTTTTTCTTTCTTTGCCCATCCTGAGGCTTGAACTCAGGCCGGGACACTGTCCCTGAGCTGCTTTTGCTCAAGGCTGGTGCTCTACCACTTGAGCCACAGCTCCACTTCTGGCCTTTTCTCTGTCTGTGGTACTGGGGAATCGAACCCAGGGCTTCATGCATGCTAGATGAGCGCTCTACCACTGAGCCGCCTGCCCAGCCCCTCCTGGCTTTGTGTTTGTATATGTGTGTGTGTGTGTGTGTGTATTTCATTGGAGATAGCCTCAGGTGGCTCCCGCCTGTCATCCCAGCTACTCAGGAGGCTGAGATCCAAGGATCGTGGTTCAAAGCCAGCCGGGGCAAGAAAGTCCATGAGGCTCTGATCTCCAAGGAACCCCCAGAAAACTGGAAGTGGCGCTGTGGCTCAAGTGGTAGGGTGCCAGCCTTGAGCTGAAGAGCTGAGGGACAGCGCCCAGGCCCCGAGTTCAAGCCCAGGGCCTGCACCAGGAGGAGGCTGAGGGTCTCTGAGCTTGGCGCGCGCTTCCCGATCTGGACAGCAGGTGGCGCCCGAGCTCAGTGACCCGGGTCTGCCCCGGGGTTTGATCTCCAGCCAAGCAGCCAGCAGGCGCCCACCCTAGACAAACCTTAAACCACCCCCTCCACCCAGAGCCCAGGGCTGAGATTGCTGCTTTGCCTCCAGTTTGCCTTCCAGTTGATCAGCTAAGGCAGGAGCCTCCCCCCCAGTCTGTATTGTATAAAATACTGACAGAGGGCAGCGATCGAGAGGATCACAGGCAATCCAGACACAAAAACAGCACAGCTGGGCACCCCTAGTTCCCGCCTGTCAGGAGGCTGAGATCTGAGGATCAAAGTTCAAGGCCAGCCCGGGCAGGAATGTCCTGGAGACTCTGATCTCCAAGGAACCACCAGGAAAGCTGGAAGTGGCGCTGTGGCTCAAGGGGTAGAGCGCCAGGATGAGCGGAGGGACAGCGCCCAGGCCCAGGGTTCCAGCTCAACAACAGATAAAACACCAGACAACGCAGCCGCAGCCGGGCATTTCAAAGGCCCTCCCGTCCCTAATTGAATGGACTCTTGTGGATTCCCGGGAGACAGATGGTGGCTGTTCTCAGAAGCGCTGTGGCTGCTTGGCCATTAAGACAACACTGGACAGGCAATCCTGTCGGACTGCGGGAAGTGACACTCATCTCCGTTCTTCCTGGCATTCTTCTCATTTCTATTTTAGACAGGATGTCAGTCCGTGCGCAGCCCAGACCAGCTTCCAACTCCCAGGAGCTGGGATTACAGGCGTGTGCTAACACACTAAAAACTACCTCACCTAGACAGCCAGTCGCTGGGGACGCCCATCTGCCATGCACGCTGTTCAGGGGGCTCAGCTCTGGAGGCCAGCTGGGCAGAAAAGCCTGGGGGAATTTGATCACCATTTGGTGAGCAAAAAGCCAGAAGAGGAGCTGTGGGTCAAGTGGTAAAGCGCCAGCCTTGAGTGAAAATGGCTCGGGACAGGGCCTAGGCTTTGTGTTCGAGGCCCAGGCTGGCACACGGTAGGACTCGGGATCTGTGGCTGACCCGCGGGGGCTGCAGGGTGGCTGCTCCTGCTTTAGCTGTTTTGTGTTTGTTGCCTGCCGGCCCTGGGCCTTGAACTCGGGGCCTGGGCGCTGTGTCTGAGCTCTTTATGCTCAAGGCCGGCGCTCTACCACCTGAGCCCCAGCGCCGCTTCTGGTTCCTGAGTGGTTCATTGGCGATCAGAGTCTCATGGACTTTCCTGCCCTGGGCTGGCTTTGAACCAAGATCCTCGGATCTCAGCTCCCCCCAGAACGACGCGAAGGATCGCGGAAAGCCGGGCGCCAGCCACGCCGGAGGCTGAGAGCTGAGGATCAGGGTTCGGAGCCAGCCCCTATGGGGAAAAGCTCTGCGTGGAGCTGCCTGAGCAAAAGAGCGGGGGGCGGCGCCCAGGCGCAGGAAAGGCACAAAATAACCACGGCAGCAATGAGGAGGGCGCGGGGCGCGGCCCGAGGCCTCAGAGTCTGAGAGCTCCGCGCCGGAACGTGAGGGGCGGGGCCTGCGCGCGAGGGGAGGGGCCTGCGCGTGGTGGGCGGGGCCTGCGCGTGATTGGAGGGGCCGGTGAAAGGCAGGAGCAGCACGTGCTTGGAGTGTGAGGGGCGGGCCGGCGCATACGAGGGAGGGGCCTGCACATGATAGGCGGAGCCTTCACGTCAAGATGTGGGGCGGGCCCGCCAATGAGGAAAGGGCTTACGCGTGAGGGGCGGGGCTTGCGGGGAGGGGCGGGGCATGTGCGTGATTGGAGGGGCCTGTGGAAGGCAGGACCTGCATGTGCTAGGAGTGGCTGGCATGTGAGGGGCGGGGCGGCCGCATGGTGGGCGGGGCCTTCACGTCAGGGATGGGGAGGGCCCGCCAGTGAGGAAAGGGCTTACTCGTGATAGGAACCTACGCGTGAGGGGAGGAGCCGCCGCATGGTGGGCGGGGCCTGAGCCTGATTGCAGGGGCAGGTGAAAGGCAGGACCCGCACGTGCTAGGAGTGACTGACGTGTGAGGGGCGGGCCCTGCGCGTGAGGGGAGGAGCCTGCGCGTGGTGGGCGGGGCCTGCACATCAGGGGGTGGGGCGGGCCCGCCAGTGAGGGAAGGGCGCTTCCTCGTGACGGTTGGAGCCCGCGCGTGAGGGGCGGGGCCTGCGTGGTGGGGCGGGGCCTGCGTGGAGGGGCGGGGCCTGCGGGACGCCGAGTTGGGGGAGCGCAAGGATTCCAAGAAGAAAACACCGAGCGGGACGTGAGGCTCCGGAGTGCATGTTACACACTCACACTCACACACACAGAGGAGGCGGGGTCTGAGCGGCTTCGGGAGCCCTCTCAGCCGCCACACCCAATCAGAGGCTGGCGCGAGCGTCCCTCCCTCCTCCAGCCGCTCTGATTGGCTGCCCGGTCCGGCGCGGGCCCCTCAGCCCCCGTGGTTGGCTGGCCGAGCCGGCCCCGCCCTCCGGCCGCTGATTGGCTGCCCCGTCGGGCTCTCACGCGCCTGGCGTCCCCTCCGCCCGCTGCGCGCTGCAGGTCTGCCCGCGCGCCCGGGAGGCCGGGGTCGGAGGATGGCGCGGCGAGGCTGCCTCGCCTTCGTCCTCCGTCGCTGGATGTCTGTGTGCTCCGCTGGCCAAGGCTCACGGACGCTTATCGCCCATAAACCACCAAAAGCCCGAGGTGGCGCCGTGGCTCCAGGGGTCGAGCGCCCGCCCGGAGCTGAGGAGCCGCGGGACGGCGCCCGGGCCCCGAGTTCAAATCCCACGATCAACAAAAAGAAAAAGAAAATTAAAACACCAAAAAACCCAAGAGGGTTGGGAGTTCAAGCCCCACGACCAGTATAATAAAACAGGACGGAGCAGAACAAAACCAGAAGAATAGAACTGGGCCTTGGAGCCTTTGCTTTTGCCACTCTAGCCTCAGGGCCTGGTTGCTACCCTTGAGCCTCTTCAGGCTCAAGGCTTTACTACCTGAGCCACGCAGCCACTTCTGCCTTCCCTGATTG